GGAAAACCAAGATTCAAAAGACAACCAAGCAGCTTAGCATTATTCCCCCTTTTACCCCAATTGAATGGAAATTCTTGAGTTTGTATACTACAGGATTCAGTAGAGGAAGAGTTTTGAAAGGAAGAAAGGGCATGACTCAGGAACAATGCCATTGATAAGGTAAAGGTGTTGAAGGTTCCAAAGTGAATGGGGCTGGTCAAAAAATAGGAGTTTAGGTACTTTATAAGGAACTCTGGTTGTGCAGTGGTTACAACTCTGGCTGCTTATCTCAAGATCTGCAGTTTGAAACTACCGGCCCTTCCATGGGAGACAGATGAGGCTTTCTGTTCCTGTAAAGCTTTACAGTCTCAGAAACACTATGCAGGGTCTGAGTTGGAACCGACTCCATGGGACACCATCACCACTACCAGGTACTTTGTCATAAGGAAAGTCTAAAGTTTGAATACAGATGGAGGTAGGTATTCAAAATGGTAGAAATGTTGGCGATGTAGGTTATGTGTTAGGCTTCTAATCACAGGGTCAGTAGTTCAAATTCAACAGCTGCTCTGAGGGAGACAGATGAGGCTTTCTACTCCAGAAAAGATTGGCAGTTTTGAAAATCCTATTTGGGGTCCCTGTTAGTCTGTACTCAACAACAGCAGTAAGTTAAGTGAGTGCTTGTGTTTATGGCTTCAAATTATTTTAGAGAGTCAAACTTTCTCAGTCTTGACGTTGTTGACATTTTGGACTATATATCATTTTGTTTGTGGGGACAGGACTGCCCTGTATACATTATAGATATTTAGCAGCCTCCTTAGCCTCTGTCATTAAACATCAGTATCATTTCAGCCATGGTCTCTGCAGTGTAACAACCAAAATTATATCCAGACATTGCCTTTGGTTGATAAGCACTGGTCTAACGTGAGGTTGTCAGGTAAAAGTGAGGGGAGTCATATTGGGAGTTTGAGGGCAGGTAGTGTTCTAGAGTGTAGTTATCTGGTGCCGCTGTAACAGAAATACCATGAAGTAGTCACGGCTTTAGCAAACAAGTTTATTTTTGCACAGTTTAGGAGGCTAGCAGTCTGAATGCAGGGTGCTAGCTCCTGGGAAAGTCTTAATCTGTCAGCTCTGGTGGTAGATCTTTCTCTCTTTGAGTGATGAAATCACCCAGGTAGTTCCTGGGTGATTTTCATGTGGCTTGATATTTCCCTTCCCCTACTTCTGCGTCTCACCCTTACTTAGTCACTTTTATATCTCAAAAGAGATTGATTTAAAAAACTCTATAACAATACTGTTTTATTAGCATAACAAAGAAACCTATTCCCAAATGGAATTATAACTACAGACACAGAGTTTAGAATTTACAATGAATATTTTGTGGGGCACAATCAGAATCTATAACAGAGTTTCAAGAAGTCATCTTGAAAAATGGGAAAGGAAATTTACATATGAGCCCCATTACAATTTTGTTCTGTGGAATTCACATCTTTTTTGCTTCTGAAATATTCTTCTACAGTTTAATATTTATTCTTGATAGTCCCACATTCCTTTGGTCTTAAATGAATGCTTTGGTTTCTACTTTAGGAAGCAATTGTTTATAAAACACATCAAGGACATAGCAGTTCTCAAAATGTAGAAGGAAGGTTTCATAAACCTTTCTTGACAGTACATTAAATATCTTGGAGGCAAGACAGTATATAAAAGCCAACTACACTAACAGTACTTTAGCGATGTTGTATATTTAATACATATTTGTGGCTTTAAAATAGCAACAATAATATTCTCTTATTGTCACTTGTTATTAAGTGCTGTCGATTTGGTTCTGACTCATAGTGATGCTGTATAAGGTTTCTAAGGGGTGGCTGGTGGGTTTGAACTGCTGACCTTGTGGTTACCATTCTAGTGCTTATCCTACAGCACCACAGTGAGACTCCCTTATTGCCACTAAGTTTGTAGAGTTGTTAATTGCTGTTAAGTGGGTTCTGACTCATTGTGACTCTGTGTAGGGTTTCCGAGGTTGTACATCTTATGGGAGCACACAGTCTCATCTTTCTTCCACAGAACTGCTGATGGGCTAAAATGGCCAACCTTGTGGTTTGCAGACTAGTGCTTATCCTACAGAAAAGTTGCTAAATTTCATTGATTCGTTACTGTCAATTATGTCTAGACTTTGAACTTCTAATTTTTTTCTGAGGTTGAGCTTTTGTCCAGTTTTAAAATTTAACTTTGAAGTGATTTTCCCTGGAGACATTACAGCTTCCTGGAGTTTTCCTTGAAACTGGTTGAGTGTTTTTTTTTTTTCTTAAGAAAAAATGGGATTTCCCATGAATACATTGATCTTACTTTGATCAATGTTAAAACTTTTCTTAAATGTCTGTCTCTGTTGACGCATAAACAGTTACTAAAGAAACAACTCATAGAAACTAGAGCATTATGCAATATTCACTTGGATATTTGAATTATTATTAATTTAAAACTATACAAATATTACATCTTTCTTCTCCCTAGCTGTTTTCATTTCCATGTGGTAAATACTGTAGTTTCCTTGCATTTTCTGTAAGTTTCTTTCATTAAATTTTCTAGACAAGATTGCATTATGTTTTAACTATTGATGTGCAACCTTTGGTTCCTCCACTTAAAAATACTTCATGATTAGGAAGGTAGAATCTTCACTGAGTAGTATCCAGTCTGTCTAGGTGGGGCTGATGAAATGAAATGCTGATGGGTCTCTTGTGATTCAATGGTGAATAATTGTTATCAGGACTACTTGTGAGGGTTGGAAATGTAAAGGTAGACGTTTTGTAGCAATGAGGGGAATGATGAACTTTTCAGCTTAGGAGCAGAGGTCCCTGGGACCATCAAGGGAGAAGACCGGAGAGCGGGACCCTATCCAGAGAAGCAGTGATGCCTGAGATGGAGGCAGAGACGATGACGTGGAGAGATGGAGCAGTTGGGGACTTCAGACACAGAGAGGGAGAGGGGCTGTGTGCAGATGACTGGGGGGCAGGCTTGTAGTGTATACCCTTTGGTTGGTTGATGATGCATGGAGGAGATTGTAACCATAGCAATGAAATGATATATGATAGGATGAATGTAAAACTAATGGTCTCCCATGTAAACTATCACATAATTCATAATAAAACATTAAAAAAAAAAAGAATGTAAGGGGAAAATGTCATCAGTATCACTGAATTGTATGTGTAGAAATCTCTAAATTGGTGTATGCTGTGCTCCATATGTTTTCAACAACAATAAAATTAAAATAAATTATGTATATATTACTTCATGCTTACCCATCTATGCCAGCTCATACAGATCTGTCTCATTCTGTTTTGAATGTGAAAGAATATACTTTACTATTTATCCATGGGCATTAATATTGATTGCAAGTGTTCTTTCTCTCTTTTCTTTTAATACTTTAAATACTACTGCACTGATTATGTGGAGTCTTGGTGTGATGCTGTTGGTTAATGTAGTGGACTGCAAAGTAAGTGTGAACCACAAGGTTGGTGGGTCTAGCTCACCAGTCGCTCTTCGGAAACCCTATACATGGTTGCTATGGGCTGGAAGCAACTCAGCGTCACTTAACAACAACAACAACACTGCATATATGGAGTGCTGGTGTGGTGCTGTAGGATAAGCACTGGACTGCTAAAAGCAAGGTCGACAGTTCAAACCCACCAGCCATTTCTCGAAAACTCTATATAGGGTCACTATGAGTTGGAAGGAGTCCTTGTGGTTTAATGGGTTGGACTGCAAAGCTGGTTTTAACCGTAAGGTCAGCAGTTCAAGCTCACCAGTTGCTCCTTGGAAACCCTACGAGGGGTCACTGTGGGTTGGAACTGACTCAATGGCACTTAATAACAACACTGAATATTGTTGAGCCAACTGCTTAAGTAATGTCCAAGTTCCTCTGGTATTTGTCCTTTCTCTTCCTCATTTCACTTGCTTTCTCTCATCTTTTTGAAACTACTATTAGATCTGTATTTAGCTTCTTATAGTTTTACTAACCCTCCATCTGTGTCTCTTCTCTTCCCTGTTCTCTGCTGTGTTCTTTTCTTTTCCATAAAACTTCCTGTTTTCCTTCAAGTCTCAGTTTTTGGAAAACCATCTCTGATCTCCCCTGCACAGTTCCTCCTGCTTACATGTGGCCCCAGATTTGTTTCATCTTATCTCAGTACTCCTAATGATTATAACTTGCCCTTTTATTGTCTGGTTCTTTCTTCCTGAAGTCATGGGCCATACCTTGGTTTAGTTGATAATACATATCAAAATTTTAACTATAATTGCTACGTGTATAAAAGAATGTTTCGTAACTTCTACTGTTTTTCCTTTATGTTCTAGGATTGGGCTAACGCGAATGTCAGCAGACAGATTGAGGACACTGTATTATATGGTTACTATAGTAAGTATTTTTGACTTTCATTTCACATTTGGACTACAAACCTAAACGTAGAATTAAGCTATATGTATTATCTTGTAATTTTGACATCATATATTAGAGGGTTTTTTTTCTTTTCAGGAATAATTAGTAGAACAGTCATTCTCATAATTCTCAAACTTCTTTAACCTTCTTTGCTTCATTTAGACTCATTTGTACTACATTACTGTGGCAGTTCAGTCAAGTTACTTTGTATTTCAGATCTCTTCTTTTGTGTTGCCGTCATTGGTTTCCCACACTTAAGCTTTTTATTTAAAATAATCACTTTTTAAGAAATGTTTTTTAGGTGTTGCATTATACTGGGGAATCTGTAGAATCAATTTCATTGTACTCTGGCATAGCTGGATTAATCCAGGGGATTGTGGATGAAGGTCTTCCCTTCTTCTCCAGTGTTAGATTATAAAAGATTTATAACCATACATATCTAATAAAAAAAAATTTTGAGTAACTATTACACTACTGCGTTTATAAAAATAAGTATTGAGTTGAGAAAAGGATATCTTTTTTTTCACAATAAAGTAAGATACTAAATAAAGATTTAGTAGAATATTAAATTGAAATCTAATAAAAACTACATAATTTTCTATAATTTTCAAGGGTTTCAGTAGATTTTAGTTTAGCTTCTTTAACTGTAATCTTTTCTGTTTTTTCCTTACCTACAACATAGAGGACCCAAGAAATTCTGTTCCTTTGGTGTAGACTTTAGAATGATTTTTTTAATAGTATTTTAGTGTTGTTGTTAGGTGATCTTGCGTTAGATTTGATCCATAGGGACCTTATGGACAACAGAAGAGAACACTGCC